GAGACAGCACTAGTCCGTGAATTTGTGAACAAGATCGGAGATCTAAAGATGCAATCTCTACCGTGCATCAATGGTGACCCGCTGGATCTCAATAGAGAATCTTCAGGCCCGTATCAAGGGGGGGGGGGCTGCGTTGGGTGTGTACGCACCCCCCAAATCGAAAAACGTCTACTAATTATAACCAAAATGTATTATAGTACTGTATTGTAAGTGTACACCAACTGCAAATAAGGTACTGGTAAGGTTTGTTGGTTTTTCTACTACTACTAAAAAATAAAAACCTCACTTGTGGCATTTTAACTTAGCCTTAATGTATTCTTATTTTGTTCTTAATTTTTCCGCAATTTCAACAGCCTCATTCTTCTTGTAAAATGTGCTCTTATAACAAAATGTAAGTGATGTTGCTATTAAAACGTACAACGTTACTCGTATCATGATGATCCTTTTATACAGTATACGCCGTCACGGGTTCAATGGATAGATAGCGTATACATACATTATAATTATGCTTATACCTCTATATATGTTGTCGATGAATAAAAATGTTGATTAATTTGTTTCAAATGCTTCTAGTTGTTTGAATCAGCTCATTTACAGTCGCTTTTAATCCACTCTTCATATCAAACTTTGCTATTATTCATTTAAAAGCAGAATTGATTTTGAATTTTTATTCGTAATGGTTACGAATTTATACAGTAGTATTTTTCATTTGGGAAACAATTTGCTTGTTTCTCCATGCCCTCCACTGGTAATTTTTTGATAGGCCCTATCGCTGTGTTCACGGACATATAGAGAATAACATGATAAAATGCCTTCAAATTAGTCTACTAGGACGTAAGAAAGCAAATTTTTCCTGGGCCTTCGGCCCCTGCACCCCGACCGGGGGCCCTGGGCGGCCCCCTGGCCCCCAGCCTGCTTGCTCGCTGCGCTCGCAAAACGCACCCCCATTCAAAAAGCTAGATACGGGCCAGTTCTTTAATAATATATAAATTTAAGAAGGCAAATGGGAAAACCCATAAAACAGCAAACGGCCACATAATGCATAACTATTTAAAATGAAAACGGAACAGTAGAGAAAATCCGATCAGAATGACAAAATAAACTAAGCATCCACTGGAAGGAATCCCAATATCTGCAGACGGATCCGTTTCGGCCTTCCAAGCTTCATCAGTGCAGCTAGGGTATAGACCCAAACAAAACGTTCGACCAGCTTAGGTAGGGCCCAAACTAGTCCCACGACCACTAATGATTACAGAGCCAAACCAAGGCAATCAGGGGCGGATCCAGCCTACCGGAATAGGGGTGGGGGGCGCAACAAGCGAGGGAAGCGCGCAGCCTTAAGCTGGGGGCCGCCTAGGGCCCCCGGCGACGTCCAGGGGCAGAGCCCCTGGTGGGGTTTGCAAGGGGGCTAAGCCCCCTTGAAGCCCAGCACATTTGAGGAATATCAATCAATTTTGACTATCTAGCATGGTATTTTTCAGTAACAAATAAAAAAAAAATAGGTGCATGTCTTTTAAAAGAAATTTTAATATTCAGGGTAGCCGCAATATGCAACTATAAAATGTGTCATTAAAATAGTAATTCATCTACTCACAGCTGTGAAAATTCAAGGTTTTTCCCTCTTGAAAACGGTCAGGTAAATTTTTATCATGTCTTATTTTATGTGTGTTTACATACATAAACAAATTGAGTAATTGCATACGATTTTTTTACCATGAATCAATAAATTCCAAAAAAGAAAGGGGGTCCGGGGGTTGTCCCCCTGGAAAATTTTGATTCTTAGAAGGCGGGAAATAAGCTTTCCCGACTTCTGAGGTGTCTTTTAATTACTTTTTATATTTTTCCCCTCTTGAAAATGATTTAATGAATCAATGAATTCCGAAGAAAAAGGGTGTCCGGGTTACCTCGGAAATATTTCGATTTCTAGAATGCGGGAAATGAGCTTTCCTGACTTCTGAAATGACTATTTAAGTTCTTCAAAATTTAGGGTTTTCCCTCTTGAAAACGGTCAGGTAAATTTTTCTCATGTCTTATTAATGTATGTATACATACATAAATAAATGAGTAGTTGCACGCCTATTCTTTTTTCCATGAATCCCAAAAAGAAATAAGCTTTCCCGACACTGGAAGTGTGTTTTAATGACGTTCTTCAAAATTCTAATTTTCTTATTGTAACATCAAAAATCAGCTCACGGGTCCTGAAAAGTTAGGTCTAGAATTCCACAACCCATTACCCCCTCACCCAGATCCGCCAATGTGAATCGCGAGAAAATTTAACTCGGTTGGGACTCGATGAACATTCTCTTTCCCATCCTTCGCCTCCTTCCTTCTTTCATTTCTTGCATTTCTTTCCAATCATACAAAAATCTCCAGACATTATATATTTTTTGCCAAAAATTTCCGCCGGCCCGTTAAACACTGTGGGTGAGAGTTCTTTGCAAAAAAAAAATAGGGGGAGGGGCGTACGCCCCTTACATCTAATCCCCATTCTAATATTTAACAAAGGGCCCAGAAATCAATTAAGCCAATCAGCTGTTGAATGTATAGGTCTCAAGTCACTCACCCCAATGGCAATAAATCGTGCTTTATTTAGGCTAGGGTAGGCCTAGCCCAGCCTAGATGAGACCCAGCGCCCCGCCTAGGGCCTAGGCTAGCCTACCTACAGCACTGAAGATCACCAGTGTTTAATTATTGAATATAAAAGTTCTATTGAATTAAGGTATATTGAATTAAAATGTTCTACCAGATTGAACGATCAAACTATCATCTGTTGAGAGAGTTAAGTTACATGCCATCCTGTAATGTTAGTGAATGTCTAGGGGATCATATTAATAATTCAACACTCACTGCATGTGGAGAGCTGAAAACTAGCTACAGGGTACTTTTGGGCTGTGATACCTTCTGTGCAGGGATCGTCTCAAAAACTTCGGTTTTTTTGTTTTTTTTTTAGCTTAAGTTTTTTTTTTTTTTTTTTTAAAGATTTTTCAGTTGTTTCTTTATCCCCAGGACATCCATGAATACCATCACACACTTGCGGTGATTCACTCAACTTTGCACTCGTCTTATCCTGTCTCTTATACACATCTAGATGTGTATAAGAGACAGATCATAGGTTGACCTCCATGTAACATGCCACCCTGCATCATTGATGGTTGCATGATTGACTGCACATGCATTTGTTGTCCAGGCTGCAACATCTGTCCGCCCTGCATCATTGACTGTCCTTGTTGCATAACAGGACCTTGCTGTCCACCCATCATCATTGGCGACTGCTGGCCCTATCTCTTATACACATCTAGATGTGTATAAGAGACAGTGCTTGTGGTCGATAGTTTATGAAGTATCAACATAATTAATACTTACTTAGTTTGTGTAGTATTTTCCTTGAAATTTTGCAAAACTTATAGTAAAAAATATTAAAACAGTATATGTTGAATGGGCCACATCATTTTCGTTCGGAATTTAAGAGTAGGCCTACACCAAATTATCACCGTCAGAAAATTATTGTTTAAAAAGTAAAGAGCAATCCTTTGTCCCTTTAATTCATTGGTGTTGCCGTATCGTTTTTACCTGTCTGCTTTATCAAAATCTGTGTTGGCAGTCCAATGTTGAACAGCCAGTATCATTACTAATTCAGGCCATCCAGAGGTCCGATAATCATACATTTTCCTGCCTCAACTTCAACCACGGTGGGGCTGAAGTCGTCTCTATCTGTGAAAGTCTCTCGCTGGGCCCTCCTCTATTTCGAACTCCTGGATCCGCCACTGCGCATGCTCATTTTTGCCTCTCTAAAAATTAGATTTTATTATTAAATATAATTATATTATATGTTCGGATTCTATCTATTAGGCTTCTAGACATAGATGTTCACTTCTTGAAACATTATGTGATCAATAGCGTTTTAATTTTTTTTTTTCCAACAGTGAATATTCCAGTTTCAACACACACACACAAAGTTTAGTAAAACAATCAAGAGTATTCGTTATTGCAATGTTCTTAACAGTGGTGGCGCTAGGATTTGCCCGACGGGAGGTCCGACGTCCCCGACGAAAAAAGTGGGCGTGGTCGGGCGTCGCTTAAAATCCCTTGAAAGTGTTTCAGGGGGAAATTTAGGCCTATGACAATTTAGGGGTTTCATGGTGATCAGGCTTATTTATTAGGTATTGGGGTCTACTAATATGTGGACAATGCATAGGCTTATTCATTTTTTTCCCTCCCCGACGAATCGTGGTTTTTCTCCCCGACAAGGGGTTGGGTAGGTGGGGTTGGGTAGGGGAGGCACCCCCACCCCTCGCTGGCGTCTCCCCTGGTTCTTATACTACAACAGTTTGGCAGGCACAGTAGGTGCGATATTATATCAATTATAATATTTATATTGATAATAAAATTAGACCGTTCAATTCACTAACTGCAGCTAGTATGATTTGTATAGTCATTTTCCTCAATAACATTCTGGTTGTGATAGAAATCAGAGCTCTGATAGTAATATGTGAAGGACGCCCTCTCGAGTATCCAGTGGCGGACCGTAGGGTAAATTGGAGGGTATGCTAGGTATTGGCATATCTAGGATGTACAAGGGGCCGCACGTCCTCCCCTACCCCTGAAAAAAAAATACTCGCCCTTCCTCCAGTCGCGCCCCCGCCCACAAATCATGCTTAAGTAATTAAATATCACCTCATATCACCTTATTTTCGATTTATCCCCTCAGCATAATCACCGATCCCCCACTTTACCTTCCTACCACCATCAGCTCCCTTCCATTTCAAGACCCGCCACTGATGCTAGGGCCTGCTCATCGATAGGAAAAGTTCGTAAGCTTACTACTATAATACAGAATAAGATTGCGTTCTATAGTAAAAAAAAAAATGCATGTTATTTTTAATACCGGCATGGTTGTCTTCTCTTCAAAAGAATTCTTATTCCTGTATTTTAACAAATTTCAATTCAAATAATAATAATTCAAAGTTTCTTCATTAGTGAAGAAAAAATGTATGCGAGGAGCTGGCCTTTAAAGATCTACCACCTAACCTTCCCGTCTATCTTTCCACTATTACTACTCAACCAAAATAGGCCCACTCCCGTCTTTAGTTTTTTTTTATTCATCATACTTCTCATCTTCTCGCTCGCACTTTTTTACACGAGCGAGAGAGCAGCAGTTGATTGCCAAGTTACCGCATGCGCAAAGCTCAGAGCGATTGACTCCCCGGAAAGTAAAAAAAAAAAAGAAAATTAAGTGGGTACGATGGGGAATAAATAATAATTGCGCAGAAATACGTACTTGACGTAAAATAAAAACACCAGAACGAAAAGTTCGACTAAATTTACCCCAGTTTAGTCATTTAGTGTAATTGTTTGCCCTATTGTTTATTTGTTATGAATTTTTCAAAATGCCTGCTCTTAAGGGCATTTGTGTGCAAAAGAATAGGAATTTTGCTGGGCAAGTTTACCTATACCCCCATTTTCAAAAAAGTACTTATTAAAAAAAAAAAATCATGTAGCAAAACAAAATTCAGAAAAATCCTGAAACATAGGTGAATCAATAGATTGATAATAATCAATAGAAACATTTTGCCCGGAGCTGGCCTTTAAAGCCCAATTTAGATGGGGTAATTCTCTTAGCATTATGACTTTGAATGTCGCTTGCACAGAAATTGCTCCATGTAAATTGAGCAATTTTGAATGAAAATGAGGCAGACAATTGACTCAGGTGATGCCCAAGCAAGGCCTAAAAATATTCTACTGGTGCAGTTTTCTCTCCTAAACGACCCACTCCGAATTATTAATATCGATTACATGAGTTTACTCAAATTTGAGAGTTAAATTCATGGACAAATAGGTTTAATCTGAGGAAATATCTAAATAAAAAAATATATCTCCAGATTTGTACATATATTGATCCACTTTTCTAATCCAGAATGCTTTATACTTTGTGAAGATATCTATATTCAGGATTCAAGGTTTCATTTATCCATATTCGTAATACTATGCGGCAGACAATTT